ACGATCCTGAATCCCTTTATTCAAGGTAGAGTCAGGGTAACTGAATGGAACTGAGTATTTTCTGGTCGGATGCCCTTCCTGACAACCTATACAAAGTACACAGCAAACATTTTCTCTTTGTGACCTGATAGAGAAACATCTATCACTACCTAGGATTGAACTCTCAACTTTCCGAATGAGAGGCAAGGGTTTTTACCTTTATGCCAATACACCGTTCAAACATTATTCTTACATTTAGCAAAGTAAATTGTTTCAGATCTAGAAATGTGTTGTAACTTGAATATGACCGTCACAAAATCAATTGCAAACTTTTCTGTTCATACTTTAATTTTTCAACAGGCTCTTTAAATAGGGTTTTAAAAAGTTGCCTCTCAGAGTTCAATATGCCTTTGAATAATAATAATTATGAATAATTATGAATTCTTGCATTTTAATTTTGAAGAAAATAGAGCCTTCCAGTGCATACTTTTTAGAACTGGAGCTAGGAGCCTAAATCCTTGAATCTTACTCAAGGAGCCCATATGGGATTTAAAGTAACAGCTAACTGCTTTTGGAACTAAAAGGAAGTTTCAACAACCAATTGGGATATGGGAATCAGCTATTTAAACAAACAAAAAGCAAAAACAAGTTACAATGTGAATCAGCTCCTTGAATCCTGGCCAATGTAAACATCAAATGATATGACAAGAGGGAGGGGAGCTGAAAACTAAACAGGTTTCTTTGTTCAGATTCTGGGATGAAATGCCACAGAACAAATGATTTGCAGAATAAACATTGTCAACAGTTGTGTAACTGATAAAATCTCAAGTGGATATTGATTCAGGCATTAATTGCATTCGCCAGGGTTTCATAGCAGCACTATTTGTTTCAATGGGAAAACCTTGTTGCTTAGGACTTGTTACCCGAGGAATTGAGCCATACACAAATTAAGAATTAAGAAAAAAAATAGGGCAATGCATAAAGTAGTTATGTAAGTGATGAGGGGACTGTAATCTTTCATTTGATTAAAGTTGTATGTGTGTGTGATTATAAATGTTACTTAATCAAGTTTAAGACTAACCTCTAGATACATTCTTTCTGTGAGAAATGTTTCTGCCCTAACGAAGATAGTTGTGATTTTTCTAAGTTGAAAGAACTCGTGTGCATGACACGCATACACAACTTAATAGACATCTGTATAATCCCAATTGAACTCAATGGCGCTTATTTCTGATTCATGGTATTATGATTAAAGTAGTTTAATAGCCATCTCTCCTTCTCAAAACACTCAGAATTATAGAAGTATATTGGGGGCTATGAGAACCAGTATAGTGAAGTGGTTACGGTATCAGGCTAGAAAAGGAGAGTCCGACAGTTCTTGTACTGCCGTAGACACAAAGCCAGTTGGGTGATCCCAGACCAGGCCTCCGTCTCAGCCCTAGGAAACAGGTAATGGCAAACCACTTCTAAAAAAAACCTTGCCAAGAAAACTGTAGGGGCTTGTCCAGTCAGCCACTGGGACTCAACACTGACTCACTCACAGGCACAATAAAAGGGGGGGGGGGGGGGTTGGGTGCCATAGATTTGTAACTGAGATTTAGTGTCATCTCCAATCTTCAATTCCCAATATTCACTCTGGGGAAGCTATGGAAATGTACACAGTATGCTAAGATTGCTTTTCTTTCTTAGTATAAGTATGCTTACTATCATTTACAAATTATAACATAACAGAATAGCAGAGTTGGAAGGGACCTTGGAGGTCTTCTAGTCCAATCCTCTGCTCAAGCAGGAGATCCTAAACCATTCCAGACAAATGGCTGTCCAGTGTCTTCTTAAAAGCCTCCAGTGATGTAGCACCCACAACTTCTGAAGGCAAGCTGTTCCACTGGTTTTGTTCTAAGGAAATTTCTCCTTAGTTCTTGGTTAGTTCTCAGGAGAAATTGACTGCAAGCATGAATTAAAGGACAAAAGACTGTATGAATGCTATTGGTCTTATTAGTCTTGTTAGAGAATAAAATACAGTAAAGATATAAAGCCATGTTGGTGGTTTTCCACTTCCACCTGAGTTGCTATTATCTTAAACAACTATATGAAAGGTTTCAAACCTTCAACACTAAATGCTGCAAAGCAATTCATTTTTGAAATCTAAAGTACCATTAATACTGAAATCACAAGTACTTTGCTCAAAAGTAATTGTAACTTATATTGGTGCCATAGAAGAAGATACAAGATAAATTAAACTGCTGTTTTTGAATTATTCTATAGCATTAGACAGTTGAGAATAATAGAGATCTAAGAAGATGAGTTTTAGACTTCCAGAAACTGCTTTCAGAAAAAAAATATGACAGAATGTGTAGAATGAAAGAGAGAGGAAGAGGAAGGCGAGAGAAAGAGAGGAAGCAGGGGAGAATGTTGACTGGTTGACTTCCTTCTGATGTCACAATTCATCGCATCTCAACCAGTAAGTCGTTCCTTGACAACTTCAGAGGATCTTACAAGGAGGTGAGATCATTTTGATGACAGGGGATTTAGCCAATGTTTTAAGTTGTTTCAACAAATGTAATGTAGCTGAAAGCGCCACTAGATAATGCTGTCAAAATCACGAGAACAAAAATGCAGTGGGATGCAAAATACTGGCTGAATGGTGCCACGAATCTTCAGCCATCGTCTGCATAATCAGATGTCTCATCCAGAGTTATTGAACTCCTGACCCATCAGGCAAAGATAAAGGAAATCAAGGAAAGAGCAGAGGTTACTTTATCACACCCCTCAAACCCGACCCAGTCAGCTGTTTGAAAACCACCACCCCCAGTCTTGATGACAACTCTACAAAGAGCCTCCTGTTGAAAAGCCATCAAATTGTCATCAAACTGAGGATATTTGCATTCAAGTCCCAGCTCATTCTTTAACAACCTGTCCTCCTTTCATAGTAATACTTTGAGGATAAAGTATGTGGAAAGGGAGATATTAAGTCTATCCTAAGCCCCTTAAAGAATTATGTGTCCAATGAAAAGCTACTATATCACTTTTTTTTAGCCCTATGCTTATTTTGTGAGGTCAGGAGATAGTTTAGGTTCCTCTTCATCTTCCTTTGACTTGGTCCCAACCCTAACTGGGTTGAATTCTGGACAGTAGATAAGAAACATCTTAAAGAGAATGCCATCTTTTAATATTCAACTCACAAAATGTGGAAGACTGAATACTTTCTGCTGACAGGTTAATCCTTTTAATGTAATTTCCTTTTTTAGGACCTCTATTGAATTTTTGTAAAATGCATTTCAGTATCAGTAAATTCTACTGAAATACACACACACACACACACACACACACACACACACACACACTCCTTATCCAAACTAGGGACCTGAGGAATTCATTTGGAGGCTGTATTTTTCTTTGGATTAGTTTTATCTGAGCAATGAGAAATGCTTTGTCTCTGTTCATTCATTTATAGATTGGGAATAGTCTACAAGATTGCATTAAACCGAATCATCCCAAACGCAGTCTGTAAAAGAAGGAACTTAAGATGAATGTAATTTTATCTGATCAGTAAATATGCAGCCTTTGCACAATGTTAACAATGCTGCCTTTAATATTTCAAGAAGTAATCCCTATCTCTAGATCAGTGGTTCCCAACCTTTTTTTTTGCCCCGCACCCCTAAAGAAATTTCACTCGAACCTCGCACCCCCTGAAATTTAGACTTTAGGAACTATTGAACGCGTTAAATATATGGTAGAATTGAATCTTTTCAGCTATGTATGTGACGGCCACTAAATAACGATACTTAACTCTAAAATGAAAACAAAGTTAATCCATTGCATAATAAATAAAAATGCCAACATATAGCCAATATCCTATTATTTACCTGGACTTTTCTCGCACCCCCTGGAATATCGTCTCGCACCCCAGGTTGGGAACCCCTGCTCTAGATCTTGGATAGTGCTTGCATTATCTTTGATTATGGTCTTCATTTTTCTTTTTATTTCCTGGTTGTTCTTCAACCCCAGACGTCATCGTTGTCCTCATAATCCTACAAGGATTTATGACTATGGAAGAGAGTCAAGCCTCATGACGGAATACACAGAAAAATACCCTTTATACCGCAATGTCCCTCCACCCAAGATCCTCAGGCCCAAGCAGGAATATCGGAGCCATGGAGGGAAAATGGAAGGCCTCACCACTTTCAGGTAAATATGGCACAACATTAGAAACTGGAATTCCAAGGAAATCAGGCTGAGGAGGAAAATGGGGGAAGAGGTAGAAGGCAGCATAATTGAGATTTGTGTTGAGATAAGCTTGCGATACAGTTTTAGTCAAAACCATTACCCAGCCAACATTTGGCAGACCTGCTGTCTGAACAAAGAGAGCAACACAAATGTGTTTATGGATGGGAAAAAAGATCTGCAAACATCGCAGGTAAATCAAGGAATAATTCTATGGGGAAAAGAAAGAACAGAACCGTGATGCTTTAATGTTCGTATTTTGCTTTACGTAGGAGAGAAAATAGAGCCAGTTTGGTGTAGTGGTGTAATGTTGTGGTTAAGGTACCTGGCTAAAAACCAGCAGACTGTGAGTTTTGTTGTTCTTAAGGCACAAAGTCAGCTGGGCAATATTGGGCCAGGTTCTCTCTTTCCCTCCCTCCCTTTGCTAGGAAGGAGGAAATGGCAAACCACTTCTGAAATCCTGCTAAGAAAACTGCAGGGACTTATCCAGACAGTTGCCAGGAATCCCAAACTGACTACGCACTTTGGGGAAAAAGACAAATCTGTGTTTATATATATATATATATATTTTAAAAAATGAGAATTAATCTTTCTTCTCCACTAATGCTCGATGAAGGTTAAAATATATAGGTTGCTATTTCTGGTAACTCTTAATGGACTTTTGCTGATTAACATTGAATGGTGAGACTTTATAATTTGTTTATAGATAAGAGATGAGATATGGGAAGTTTTTGTCAAAATGTCAGAGGTGGTGATAAGTTACTGAAACTACTTGTCTTGATGAGAAGGTGGGGGGGGGGGAATCATTTCTTTATATTTTTTGTTTATTTTTTGTTCTTTTTCGCTGCACTTTTTGAAATTTCTTTTTAACTTTTTTATTTTTTTAGTGTGTTTTAGTTTTTTTATCTTTGTCTTTTTAAAGTTTGATAAAATTGTTATGAAATCTTATTAAGATGACCACAGGGATTTGTGCATGCAATAGAGGGAGGGAGGGAGGGAGGGAGGGAATTCTTTTTTGAATCAGGCTTACCAACCTTATGTTTTGTAGGCATTTGCTCTAGACATATTTAACTGATTTTTCTCTCCCCAGTCTGCCAAGATTTTCATTAGAGGCCCAATTTAAATCAATCCAAAGATTTCAACTAGTCAGATTGATTTATTGACTAAATGCTACAGTTATGGTTTCTTTCTCAGAGTTTTTTCCCCTCTCCTCCTACCAGATCTGATTACCTTCCATACGATATAACATATCGACCCGTTCGTGTACAGGAGGAATACAAGCCCATGGCTGGAGAAATTGACATGGCAACCACTTACAGAAGAGATTACAATCCTCACAAAATAGAACCAATAATATTAGTAAGACCTGCAGAAAAGAAATATGCTTCTAAATGTAAACTGAACACCATTCCAACCTACCAAGGTAATAGTGCCAATTATTTTTACAAATGGATTTTTTTTTTTTTTTTGCCAAGGATGGTGAAGTGTCAAATTGCTGCTTTGGGAAGGCAAATTCTGATGGTGGTTGCAATGCCATCTTGTAATTTCTCTGTAATTGAAAGATGTATAATCAGAAGTGGACACTCTTATTAAAAGCACATTGTAGTTTAATGTCATCATTAGGCTCTGAGACCAAAACCTAGTTTAGTTGTTTTTATGAAACCACAAGAGAACTATATTCCTGATAAACTGAAGCATGTTCCACCAAACCTGGGAAGCACGTTTGATGGAACATGCTTTGGAAGCATGTTCACCACTCACTGGTGTGATTTGCTTCCTGGTGATCTTCCAAAAAACTTCAAGTTTGAAACTACTAAAATAGAAACAAAATCCAATTTTGATGGAATCACAGAATTCTGCCTTCACTTTCAGCCGTGGGCAGTTTCCTGAGCTTCATAAAGCAAATGCCAAACAAGTTTTATTACACAGTGAGGGCCTAAAATGATTAAAACTAATCTGATAAGCATGCCCTCTTAATAAATGCTAGTACCTAGTTAAGTATATTTCAGACTTTTCAGACAATTCTTATTCCACACTTGCTCAATATCATAATTCTCAGGATTCTTAGGATTTTTTATGCAAAGTCATTTAAGATCAAATGATATACTGTAGATACCTTATTCCTATGCTATAATAGTCAAATATGGAAGTAATTAGATACTGTATGCATGTAGAAGTTCTTGCAGAATCAGTTATTTTAGCACATTGTCTATTCACCTTTTATATTTTATAAGCCATGGTGGTGCAGTGGTTAGAATGCAGTATTGCAGGCTAACTCACTGCCCACTGCCAGGAGTTCAATCCTGATCGGCTCAAGGTTGACTCAACCTTCCATCTTTCCGAGGTTGGTAAAATGAGGGCCCAGAATGTTGGGGGTCAATATGCTGACTCTGTAAACCGCTTAGAGGGGGCTGTAAGGTGCTGTGAAGCGGTATATAAGTCTAGGTGCCATTGCTATTGCTGTAAGTTCATCACTGGCCTACTCTTAGGTGAGGAATAGGGGAAGAATAGCAACTTCCATCAAAAATGTAACAATTCTTGTGTTTTCGTCTTAAAGCTGACTTTAAACCCTGGGAAATAGAAAAAAGAGAGCCCTGTAGAGTGGAGCACATCTACCATCCTCCCACCGAAAAGTTTGGGAACAACACTACCTCCCAGGATGCATTTATTCCAAGGGAATTTGCCCTCCGGAAGCTCATTAAACCTGCTGACGCCACCACACTTTCAGACCAACCTTTTATCAGCGACACGTGTCACCGGAGCGACTATGTCGCCCATCAGCTGGAGCCCATGTGGAAAAAGTCAAGAGAAGCCTACCGTCCCAGCAGTCAGCCTTTCGAAAATGTCACCACCCACCAGAGCGACTTTAGGGGCCTCCCTGGCGATTTCCCCAAAAGCTTCAAGCCCGAGCCGACCAAAATGGAAAACAAGTCCGATTTTGAGGGCATGTCAGAATTCCGTGATCGTTTTCAGCCGTGGGCGGTTTCCTTACCTGAGCTCCGTAAAGCCAAGGAGTACGCTCCTCCTACAGGTAGCATGGAGTTTAACTCCACATCCCGCCTTGATTATCCTCCTCACATCGTCAGCCCGGTGGTCCTCATGAAACCGCTGGAAAAGATCAAAAAGAGCAGCCCTCCCTTCCAAGGGAACACAACTATGAGAGATTCCTTTCAAGCTTGGGACATCCATCCGCCAGAAATGATTAGAAGAACCCAGGGGATACCGAAGGCCTCAGGTAAATTCGATGATATCACCACTTTCCGATCTCACTATACGCCACACAGTCTAATCCCAACCCAGAGCTGCAAACCTACAAAGGTAATTTTGTCCAATTCGGCACGCTTCGAGGACGAAACCACATATCATACAGACTACACCCCAAAGAGAAAAGAGATTTGTCCAGTAAATTACCCATCTCCTCCTGGATATGTCTATGTCAGCACCGATTCGCGTGGTCACAAATTCTTCCGCAAGGTGACTCCAGATGTCAGTAAGGTTCTCCATCCAAATGGTAATCATGTTCCAAAAGAAATAGCAGTTGTGTCCTAATCTCTAATTATTTTGCTCTGCCCAGGGCTGAACAAATATCATGCCTTAGGCAGACTAATATGGTGGTTCTATTAAAATAAGCACAAATGATTACAAGGTTTTGGGAACGTGAAAATTGAAATGTTTATAAGAATGGGGATGGAAACTGAATTAGTATTTCTATGGAAATTTTTTTCTTCTTCACTTGTTTGTTAAAGTAATTTAATCCTTAATGAAAATGTTTGTTTGGCAATAACTTGACAAATTTAATATACAGTAAACACTTCCACTATGTACTGTATGGTATGATTTGAATGTAATCTGTTTGTAGCTGTCTTTTTTTTGCAATTTATTTTTTCAAGTTAGATCCATAAAGGAATCATTACTTGCTGTTACTATAGTTTTCCAGGTTAATTTCCAGTATTTCATCATCTTCAGTAATGCCAAGTCACAGAAGTGGGCTAGAATTGAGAGATTAGTGGCTAGAGAGAACAATAGGATTGTGTTTACAAATACGCCTGTAATACCTTGAACTGAAGGTATTTCTAGCAGCAGGTTGAATGACCTTGGAATTAGCTTTTTAAAAAGTTTATGGGGCTTATTAGAGTATCAATGATACATTTCATTGGCCACTGATCTGCATATCAGCAGATTTGTACTTGCCTGAGGCAACCTTAACTTCCTGCCACCCTGTCCTATCAACACAAGTTTTTGGGTTGGGGCAGAAGGCAGAGTCCTAGTCTCACTGATAGATGAAGCATCTCCTGTTGAATTCAGCTGAGCTAACTATCCAAGAAGAATTTATCTGATCAGAAGTAAACATGTGGCCTCAGCTAGATAGATGGGGAAGCTTTTCTCCAAATTTGACTAAATTTCTTATAGAGAAAAAAGACAAAATAACATTGCAGAATGACAAATCTGCCTTTCAGATCGTTATTTAAACCGTCATTTTTTTAATTAATGAAGTCCTCAGTTTGATTAGTCCTAAACGGATGAAATTTGTTCCAGTGAGTGTTTCTGTTTCAATATGATAGATTTGAATTTTACCTCCGAGTTCTTTTGTACTCATTAATTTAAGGAAATCGTTTTATAATTGAAGCACCATGTAATCCTTCTGCTCTGTCTCCAAGTTAGCAAAATAAGAGACTGAGATTGATAAATAGTGTCAAAAGAGCAAAAAATAAATCATCCCCCCCAAAAAAGGACAGGAAACCATCTGAATGTCTGGGAATGTTTGCGTTGTGTCACTCACATACAGACTGATACAGACTGAGATTAGCACCCGTTTATTTTATAACTTGTCCTATGTAAATGTATTGCTCTAAAAATCTAATTAAACACTTTTGTGTCACATATTTTCTGTTTCTTAAAATACTTTTAAAAGATTGTAGCTAGACTACGGGTGTAAAATTCCATTTGCTCTGAAATGGTAATTTATGTTTTTTGGTGATCAGATAGATACAAATTCCTGAATTCTATGGAATGAACTCTTTTGAAATGTAGTTATAATGTAATCCTCGACTTACAACAGTTCATGTAGTGACCGTTCAAAGTTACAACGGCACTGAAAAAAGTGACGTATCATTTTCTCACACTTATGACTGTTGCCTTGGTCACATGATCAGAATTCAGACGCTTGGCAATAAATTCCTATTTATGACTGATGTGGTGTCCCAGGGTGACATAATCCCCTTTTGTGACCTTCTGACAAGCAAAGTCACTGGGGAAGCCAGATTTCACTTTACATTTACAATTACACTTTACAAGGAAGGTCACAAAATGGGGCAAAACTCACATAGAAATTCTCCCTCTTAACAACAGAAATGTTGGGCTCAACTGAGTTGAGGACTACCTGTATTGGACCGGATCATACATGCCTGATCATCATTTAATACCTACAGCATTAAAATGAGTCTTTACAGGTCCAGCATGGGTTAGTGCATTCAATACTAGAAGCTAATTATTTTCAAATAATCCCAACACAAAAGAAAGCGATAGTAAGTTTTAGTAATAAGAAAAAATAGGATCCGAAATCTTTATTACACACTATACAAAAATATTGCACTTTTAAACCAGATAATAAATATATACAAAAGTATATTTACAGGTTATCTTAATTTAAGAAGGGGTGTAATCAAAAAGCCAAGGATTGCTTTAAAATTTAGGGCCCCGATACAGCAAAAGTTTAAAGTCCACTGAATTCAATGAGAAAGAACTAAAGATTCTGAATCTGGAAAGAAGCACTTCTATTCATGCAAAATCAAAATGCTAAAGTTTTTTTTCCTACTTCCACATTTAATTTTGCAAATAGGCCTTTATTTCTCAGTAAGGTATTCTTTATCCTAGAATACTGAGAAGTATGACTCAGCCTGAGTTTTCCCAGACGTCATCTTTTTGAGGTTCCATGGAGTTCTTTCTGCCTCCATGGGGAACATTCAAACATGTAATTCATTTGGCTATGAAAAGAAAAACATGCCTTCTTGATTTTACTGCAATCGACCAAGTTGCTTGACTTCAATTTGATCATTTTTGGTCATCAGCCAAAAATACAGTTTCCTCATTCAAACACCTTTTTTTTTTTTTTTTTACAGTAGCAGTCATTCAGCCGTTAGCAAGGATAACCTCTTTTGAAATACATTTGGGACAGAAACCAAAAACTCAGGTGTTAACTTTTCTGCCCTTTGTCAGAAGGGCCAGTCTAAGAAAACATGACTTTTGAAGTTTATGCAAGAACACAGGAGTTAACAAGTGAAAAACCAAAAGATAAGAACAGGTGTAGAATAGCCTTGACTCAATGGATAAGGCCAAAGTTTCAGGTAGTCTCGCATAGTTTCTAAACAGTAGTCAAATAACCCTGGAATACCTACAAGCAGGGCATGAAGATAAAGCACACCTGTTTTTCTTGCCTGTGATATCTGACCTTTGGAAGCACATCATCTGAAAATGAAATTCCATGCTGCTTTGAGAGCTAATAGCCATTGATAGACGATGGACTCCAATAATCTTAAGAGCCATAGGTTACCAATGGATCTCATGTGTTGTAAGTAGAAGATTCCAGGTTCGACCCCAGCATCTCCAGGTAAGGGTAGGAAAATTCCAGTTTAAAAAACAAAACTGAAATGCTGCCATCAATGAGCCAGACCAACAACTTGATTTGCTTAGAAGGAAGCTTTCTATCTAATTATGGTTCCATCCATTTTTTTTATATTGCTTCCCAATCAAGAAGACAGCTTCCCTATCTATCAAAGACATTCTGAGTTACTCAAGTTAATGGCTTTCACTTCATTTTGAGGGACACAATTATGCAACAAGCATGCAGAGCATATCTTTGGGTCTGTGCTAAGCCCTTTGTCAATCAACTTCATTGGTTTTGCTTATGACAGCCGAACCTTTGTTCAATCCACTTTGTTCAATTTTCATCAACCACAATTCTGTTCTTTTTTTCTGTTATTCTAAGGAACTTCAGCAGTCTCGTAGAAAACATTTCAAAGCATTTCAGTTGTTCCTTTCTCTACCTTTTTCAACAATTGGGCAGAACTGTATGCAGCCACATTCATTTATATTTCTAATAATGTATATTATCTGATAGTTGAAACTGAGATGTTTATTATTTTTTGCACAAATCTATATAGAAGAAAAATGCTATTTGAAGTAATTTTTGGAATGAACTCGCATGGCATATTTCCAAATGCACAGCGATCAAAATGGATGAAAATCAGTTGAACTGACCCTGAACATACCTCTGTCTCAAAGTATAATAGAGCTGGATTTTTCACCCTCTTTCAAATGACTGTAAAATAATACAGGATTTTTTTCAGAAGCAGCATATACCTTTTTGGCTGTGGACCTGCTCTGACTTCTCTTCAGACAAAGCGGGGGGGAGGGGCGGGAAACCCCAAATTCTCAATCTTCAAGTTCAAATGGAAACATTTAAATTCTGAGCTCCAGTGTAGAAACCTCAAATCCAATTTCATACCAGGCTAATAGTGCTCCCTGCCTTGATCAGGTTCCAGAGAGATTGCAAGATATGATCTGTCTTCCTAAAATTACACTGCATTGATCAAAAACAATTCCATAAGAAGCCTGCAAATTATAACATCATGTATATTGCTTTTTACTGAAAATACTTAAAGGAATGAACTTGTGATTCATCTGAAGCTATTGAAATGAAGTCTCAGATAATGTGGTTTGGCCAAAAAATGAAGTAGAAAGAGTGGTAGGGGGAAAAAAAACCACTATTCTTTCTGTACTTTCCGAAAATGGTCTTAAAGTGGATTAAATCAAGAAGGTGACAAGCAAAGCAGTCCAATGGCTGATTCCAGTATATTTTAAATGCGTAAGTCTTCAATTGTATTTGTAGCATCAGTAGCACTACTTAAATCCAACGAATTCCCATTGTCTCACTGAAGAAGCTGTTCTGCAAAACGGCTTTCTTGTTCATGTGGGCTGCAAAATCAGTGTTGCAATTTCATCACATCTGAAGGACACCAGATTAGGACAGATGCTTTCAAGTAGTATACTCAGTGGACCATAATGATTTCTTAAAAAAAAAAAAACAACCACCATTGAAGTTTACGTTGTTGGAAAAGGCATAAGGGAGCACCAGAGGAATCAGGAAGAGAAACCGTTTTCTCCAATTTATGAATTCGTGCTATCAATTCATCAAGCTTGTGTCTTCCTTGTCGATCGTCTTCCCTGTCCTACTGGACAGACCAAGCCGAATGAAAACTCTCCTCTTGATGGGGCATCCTTTCTTGCTTCCCATAAAAGGCTAACCTTCCCCACATGACTGACAACACCTTTGCTTGTAGACGCCTACTGAGCATAACTTTAGATGCTTTACAGATGTGCAGTAGAAAGTGGTGTCCTTGCAGTCGCCTTCTGAAAAATACATGGAAATGTGACAAAAAGGAAAAAGGACAAAGTTTATGTCATCCCAACAAATGGCTCTCAGATGCTGAAGTCGTAAGACTGACATCTGTCTGGCAAACACAAGATGTAAGATCTAAATAAAGCATCGTTATCCTCTCTCTCTCTGTCTCTCTCTCTCTCTCTCTGCCTTGTGTATCTTTTTCAAAACGACTCTGGATTTAACGTGCAGATTTCCTAGAGGCTCACTCATGAACAAGAATCCTTAACGGATATCGATCCGATCCACAGCACCATTTGGAGCTAACTTGGGGGGGCATGTTCTTTGGCTTTTTTCCCCTCTTTACTGCTTACTGCAGCCACCATTTAGCAGAACGTGGATTGATCAAGTTCCTTCTACAGCTAATGTTCAGCCACACACCAGGTTCTAAACGCGTTTCGCCACACGCCACGGGCAAAGGCGAGAAATGGATGTAAAGTGTTTTTTACATACTGCCACAAGAAGTGACATGGCAGTGCTTCCAGGTCGTGGGTCTCTTCTTCCACGCACAGAACTGATCGGCCACCAATCTCTTCTTTTTCCTGTGTACGCAGCTGACCTGCCGTGACTGGAAGCCACTTCCGCAGTCTACGGGGCATGGACGCCAGGGACCCATTCGCCAATGCACATCGCAATTTTCTGAAGAACAGTTTCTTCGAATGGGCGGCCTGCAGAAATGGAAAAGGGGAAGACAAAAAAGCCGTAGTTTGAGACTTAATCCAAGAGATGATAATTCCTCCCTTCCTGATCTTTGTTGCAACATAAGACTTATTCCCTCTCAGTATCGCAGTATCAGTAAAAGACAGAATTGGAGAATTTCCCTTTTTAAGATCTGGACTTAAAACCAGTCAAAGCCAGTTTCTCTCATCTCTCCAGTTCTCTGCAGTTTCTTTCTTGATAATAGTCATCTATTTAGGCCCTACTATTCTTTAGCATGTGATAAGGTGTTTTTTTCTTCTCTCCTTTCTATTTCCTCCAGCTCTATTTTCCTACATCGGTTGAATTCATATTATGCTAAATCGAACCTTAAGCAATCATCTGGGAATCCCAAAGGTGTTTTTCCAAAAGGAAGCTGGAGTTTCTTGTTGTTTTTTCTTGAAAACATTTCGCTTCTCATCCAAGAAGCTTCTTCAGAAGACGAAGAAGACCCAGAAAACCCAAGAGAGTCCAGTTTGCATTTTGGAAAAGCAACTTTGGGACAACCATGACTTGGGTGATTGAGAATCTTCATAATTATCTGCAAAGTTTCTGTGAGGCATTCTTTTCAATAATCCTTATCTCAGTTCCAAACTTCTCAAGCTGATGTGAAAACGGAGTGCATCAAACTTATAAAAATGGGAAACCGAGATGGAGGCATTCCTAAAAAAAGTATTTAGTCATACTTTTTAGATCTCGAATTGCAGCCAAATGCCCAGATGATACAACACAAATCAGAAGTATTCTAACTAAAGAAAACAAACAGTTTGTTTGCTTAGCTTGCTGCTTCTGATGTAAAAATTTACCAATCCTTTGCTTTTTTACTAGCAACATCCCTCCACAAAGAGAAAGAAAGGGAGATAAGATCTTGCTGAAGTTTAACAGATTTAACAGATTAACAGAGTTGGAAGGGACCTTGTAGGTCATCTAGTCCAATCCCCCCACCCAAGCAGGAGATCGTACACCATTTCTGACAGATCTGTCCAGTCTCTTCTTGAAAGCTTCCAGTGATGAAGCAACCACAACTTCTGAAAGCAACTTCTGTTCCATGGGTTGATTGCTCTCACTGTCAGAAAATTTCTCCTTATTTCTAGGTTGAATCTCTGCTTGTTCAGTTTCCATCCATTATTCCTTGTCTGGCCTTCAGGTGCCTTGGAAAACAGATTGACGCACACACACCCCCGGCAGCCCCTCAAATATTGGAAAGTAAGTTTCAGTCCACTGATTTAGGACTCAGAAAGCGATAAAAGTACAGCATTTAATAGCCTAATGAGACTGCTGAGGAGGAGAAATATGTGGTTTTCACTGACTCATACCTTCCCAGTAGAATCTAGTGAAAGAATGTCATGACATTTGCTGAGATGAAAAGAAGGGTTACGGGTCGCATGCTAAGCAGGCATACCTTTTCTCACTATCACAGTGTGAATTCAGGACTGTTGATCCATTCTGATGCTGGCACTGAATGCGACGGTGTTGTAAGCCCACTCCGAGATTGATGCAATGTCCGGTGCACTGAGGGGGAGACAGATAGCAAACAGCTCCCATTACAAAGACGAACCTTTGCATTTTCCTGTGCAAAATGCAGATTATTTAAACTCAGAGAGGTAGCAGGCTTCCTGCCCATGTGAACACATGCCAATAAGCAATCGTATTAATCTAATTTCTCCTTGTGGTTTATTTTTAGATAGCAAGCATGGTCCTACCTATTTATTCCTCTAGGAATTTTGACAGTGTAAAGGTGTTCTGTCCTAGGCCTCCCCAAAAAGCACTAAGTCAATTCTGAGTCCCGACAAAAACCTCTTTTATTACATTAACGTGCATTTATTTCATTCACAGTCAGCCAACAGCTTGGCAAACAGTCTTGTGAAGGTATACTAATTAGCTCAGACCTTTATCAATCCTGGAACGCTGCCCAGTAAATAGTTCCACACTCAGTGCTGGCAGGGAAGGGCTGGGTTATACAGACAACGCTCCATGAGGCTGGAATGAACAAACGAATGAACGAGCGAGTTGTTTCCTGCAAAAGCTCTCTTCCCTTTTGCTTCTCTTTTAATCCTGATGGGAGGGGCCATTCGTTGTCCACCTGTGGCCTTACTCCCACGTCGACCCTGAGTTCTTAATTATTCCTTCCTTTTGGCAGTTCTGTGCATGCACAGACTGAGAACCAGTTCCAGAAGCTTCACTGCCTCACTGCTGTCTGAGCCCAAAGGTGGCTGATGACTGCCAGCCTGCTCTGGCCCCATCTCTGCCTCTGACGCAGAGCCCTCATCCGAGCCTTCCTCAGCTTCCAGGAATGGCCTGAGTTCCTCCCCAACCTCCTCACTACCGACTGCTGCCAGCTCCGCCAGCCGCTGGTGGGCCACAACCAAAGGTACTTAGCCAGAGAGCCAATAGCCCTTAGGGTTTGAATTCAATCCCATCTACCAAGGCTGGAACTCTTGAGCAGAACAACCAATAAGAACAGTTTTATTTTCTACTTGATCTTTAGCCTAACATGGACTTTCTGAGCCTTAGGGTATATTTCTCTGAATTAGTCCAGAGACTTGACCTTGCTAGTTCTTTAGTTCTGACTCATTTTGTGATCCTGAATACCAGTTGCAGCCCACATGGAGCAGATCCAGGCTGAGCAAGATTCTATACTCATGGAGTCCACTGAGCTTAAGATGCAAAATAAATGAAATGTAATCTCGGATACTTTCACCAGATGTATGGACAGCAGTTTTACTCCATGGAACACTCAGAGTGGCTTTAGAGTCCAGCACACTCAAGATAATCTATTCTGACTGGGAGCTGCTGTCGAGGTCTGGGTGGTTATTCCTAAAAAACAAAGACACTATAAAAACAATCAAGAGGTTCTTCAACCGTTATCACTTTGTTGTGGTGATAATATACAACCCTGCACCTCTCTGTAGGAGAGGTAGAAATTAAGAGAGTCGTGCATCGTTATTAGGCAATTGTGAGGCACTGAACTGCGGCTTGTGCATAGCCAATGACAAGAGGTGACAGATTCATGCATCACTGAATTAATTACTTGGCTCCAGGGATGGACAATCCATTCTGCACAAAAATGTCCCGTGCAAGGTTTCATTTCCAAAGGACGCTCTTGGTCTACACAAGCACCCGGAGGCAAAGTTAAGATATGTCGGTTGGCTTTGACTTGCTTGCAAATTATTCGCCGGCGGTGAAATCCATGGCCACAGGAAGCAGAGCATTCAGACCAAGCTGTTGTTGCCCACCTGGAAGGAGAAAATGCAAGAAAAAGAAGGGGGGAAAATTAACCACAGAAGTAAAAGAAATACACCTATTGACTTGGGCTATATGGATGGTTAAGCTAACGGTAGGCACACTTATGGGGAAAGGCTCCATTTTCCTCAGTTATCAGTTGAGATGGACAAAATCAGCCATGACTTTTCAAGACAGGACAGCACCTCTTTGTCAATTGCTGGAGACCAAGAGCAGAAGGAGCTAATATTCTTGTGTTTTCTTTATAGATGTATGTAGAGCCACGGTGGCGCAATGGTTAGAATGCAGTACTGCAGACTACTTCTGCTGACTGCCAACAGTTTGGCAGTTCGATTCTGATCCGCTCAAGGTAGACTCATCCCTCCATCCTTATGAGGTCAGTAAAACGAGGACCCAGATTGTTGGGGGCGAAATGCTGATTCTGTAACAGCTTAGAGAGGGCTGTAAAGCACTGTGGAGTGGCATAGAGGTCTAAGTGCTATATTACTATTAATATAAATGGAGCCCCATCAGATCAAACCAAAAAGCTTGATTAGTCTCAAAGAAGCTAATTCACCCACAAGTGTTTCTCCACAGCTGCCCTCCATATATATATTGACAAGAATGGTGATACAGCAGGCACAGCTATTGTATTTGTCCCCACTTTCTCTTCTGCAACCTACATTTAGGTGAGATGTGTGGCTGTGTGAATTTGATGAATTGATCTAGTAGGAATGAATGAAGATTCAATGCATTCTTTCTGTAACGGAATTATGATTTCAGTGGTACTGAGTCTTTAGCAGCTCCATTGAAAAACTAAACTGTTGGCCAAAAGGGACAGTGAGTTATAGAGAAAGGGGTTTAAGAACTTATCCTGCATGCCCTCTTTGTTCCCAGGCTCACGGAAGGAACGCTTGTTCTCTGAGTCTCCTTTTTCAATGTTTTGTATCAGACTGAAGTTGGAGGATTTCAGCACCCTAGTAAAATAAACCTGAAATCTACCTACCATCCATGCAAAACATATATGTACAGATATCTAAGAGTACATTCTAATTTGAACAAAGTAACAAAATGTTTGCACCTTGCAGGACAATCTTGAATTTTGCAGGACTGCAGGTTGTTTACGACTGGCTTTTGATGGTCCTTGCATAGTGATGCATTCACATTTTGACCCTTCATATTCACACATAGAAATTTCCGGAAGCGAGTTCCCAAATTTCCACAAGTTGTTGAGCATGGACTCTGTTCACCAAGCTTCCATCGATATTCTGTCAAAGAGGATATATCCCAAATATATTTACTTCTTCCCGATACAAGGAAATGCCTTACTAGGAGAAGGTGTGCTAATTACATCAAGCTATCATTTGTTTCAATCTATGATACTGGTTTATACATATTATGTCCCTAGGCCAGGGTCTGCATATCTAGCTAAGTCTGCTATAAACAAGCCCTATTACATCACTGTATGATATCCAAATCCAGATGGTTTGGCTATCACATCAATCCCGTCTAGTTCCTAAGCTAAATCTAAAAAAGAAGGTTTCCTCAGCCAACTCTGGCCCTATGATCTCTCGGATTCTACAATTCTCGGATTCCACATATTCTACAAAGAATATGATCATACACTAAGCAAAAGAAATACATAGTTGGGACCCCTTGCCCAATTGTTATTTATTTTATGTATTATTTATTATAATTCTATGTTGTCCAATATGAGAAGTTTACTTGTTGGCTTGTTAAATTATAAGAAAATTAAAGGAAAAACAAGGAAAACATAAACATAGCAGCATGAAATTCATTAATAAAAATTGTACTGATTGATTGATTGATTGATTGATTGATTGGCTGATTTACAGAACTTATATGACTACCCATCTCATACAATGATTCTAGACGGTGTACAACAAGCAATTAAAAACAAGATTGACATAAATCTGTCCTTCCCTCAGATGCCAGATCAAGATCCTCCAGCTCAACCACCATCCTAGTCCAATGCTTAAGGGAAGAGCCAGATCTTCACAGTCTTAAATCAGGAGTTGGGGAACTAGGGCCCTTTTTAGGAACTGTGGACTTCAACTCCCAGAATTCCCCAGCCAGCATGACTGGCTCAGGAATTCTGGGAGTCCACGAGTCATAAAGGGGCCATAGTTCTCCACCCCCACCTTAAATTGTAATTAGAATTAGAATTCTTTATTGGTCAAGTGTGATTGGGCACACAAGGAATTTGTCTTGGTGCAAATGCTCTCAGTGTACATAAAAAGAAAAGATACATTTGTCAAGAGTCAAGAAGTAGGAAGTACCAAACATTTAAACAAAAATGAAAATATAAAAATGTTATTGGGGATCTTTCAACAAACCTTCCTTCTTGACATTTACCCAGACAGACAATGGCTTGACATGTGAGGAAGCCCAGCACTTGTATCGTCCAGAAAACTGGTCAGATGCAACAATGAATTCAAGGATGCGTCCCCCGACCAGGGTCTTGTGCCTGAAGCTTGAAGCCTCTTCTATGGGTTGATTTCCAGCAAACCAGCGAATGGTGTTATTTGCGCTAGGATAGACGGGACAACCTAGAAAAACAAAAGGCATTTTTAGCCCCCTTTTTCCCTCAGAACATCTAAAACTTGCTTGCAGAATAAAGAATTTTGTTATTCTTAGGTGCCCCTTTCCAAACAAGATGATGGTGTCTCAGAGCAGGTTCTGACCAGTTCTGGAGAACCGGTAGCGGAAATTTTGAGTAGTTTGGAGAACCGGCAAATCCCACCTCTGACTGGCCCCGCCAACCCCATCTCTTCTCTGCCTCCCACTGAGTCTCAGCTGATCGGCTGGGTCTTCTTTGGTAGCCCTGCACAGGAGAACAGAGCTGGAAAGCAGGTTAGTGGGGTGGGGAAGGAATGAGATTTCGCAGTAACCTTTCCCCAGGAGTGGGGAGGGAATGGAGATTTTGTAGTGTCCTTCCCCTGCCATGCCTACCAAGCCACGCCACACTCACCAAGCCATGCCCAAAGAACCAGTAGTAAAAAAATTTGAATCCCACCACTGTGGTGTCTCCAAAGTAGCTACCCCATTTCAAGGTCCCCCATGGATTCTTTTTCAGAGCTAGGAGGAGAAGGGTAATGGAAACCTCTATAGCAGCAGTATCCAATCTTGGCAACTTTAAAGATCTGTGGGATTTAAACTCCCAGAATTCCCCAGCCAGCCATGCCACTGCATCATGAACCAAAGCCAACCACAATTAAGAAGATTTTAAAAAAAATGGGCTTTTTATTCTGCTCTCTTCTTGTCCCCATTTTCCCCTCTCCTTGCTGTGTAACTTTTTGGCCATAATTCACCCTGAGATATTCAATGCTATATTCCTGCACAGTTGAGTTCCTTGGCTGCCATTTTTGGACCTCCTAGAGCCAGAAATACAGCGACTCTGAAATAACCGCAGATATGACATGAATGAAACAAGAATGATCCCTTCCCTGCCACCCGTTGTTTCAGGGCAGAGTTGATATTTGGGACCATACCTATTCGTAATGTATCACCCGCAGCCACCGTAATGTTGGTACCAATTCCAGATGCCATGAAAACACGTTTTCTTTTACTGTTAGTAGATGATCCATTGTGGGGTTTTCTTCGTCCTATAATGATGGAGGAAATTATTACCGTCGTGGTACAGTGGTTAGAGTGCAGTACTGCAGGCTACTTTGGCTGCTTGCCGGCTGCCTGCAGTTTGGCAGTTCAAATCTCAGCAAGCTCCAGGTTGACTCAGCCTTCCATCCTTCCAAGGTGGGTAAAATGAGGACATAGATTGTTGGGGGCCATAGGTTGACTCTATAAACTGCTTAGAGAGGGGTGTAAAGCATTGTGAAGCGGTATATAAGTCTAAATGCTATTGCTATTGCTAAATTACAGCCCGGGGTTTCCCAGATATAAAACCAAGGAGAGGCTATTCAGGTTTGAAGGATTTATTTAACAAAAACGAGAATAAGAATAAAAGAATAAAAATACAATAACAGGGACAATAGGCATATTAGTGCACTTATCCATGCCTCCTCTACTAGCTACTTAAGTATGATGTACTTCTTCAGTCCACTATTCTCACTATGATGGTGAAGCCCATCTGCAGGCAGGGGAATGGTCATAGCTACTCTACCCTACCACCTGTATATTCATGCTGTTAAAATCTGCTTTCAGCAGATGGGTATGTGATGGGTATTTGGTCTAGTGGTTAATGCACCAGGTTACAAACTGGGAGACCGTGTGTTCTAATTCCACCTTAACCATGAAAGCTAGCTGGATGACTTTGGGCCAACCACTAGAAGACAGTGAGTTCTAGTTCCATCTTAGGCATGAAAGCCAGTTGGGTGAACCCCTACCCCTCTCACTCAGCCCAACTCATCTCCTAGGCTTGTTGTTTTGGGCAAAATAGGAGAAAGAAGAAGTATTAGATATGTTTGCCATGCTGAGTTGATTATAAAAAAAATCATAAAGGCAAAGTAAGTACGTATCTATGTGCCTGGAGTTTCATTGCATGTGTCAGCAATGACTCACTGAGGTCAATGGAGAAATGCTGATTGAAAGAAGACAAGTGGCCCTTCCCATAGGCTGCCCAATGATGCCACTGACCCAACTTTATACTTACCAGCCAAATGAAGAACAGTGGCTGCTGTAGCATGTCCCACAGCATTGGTAGCCATACAACTGTAAATGCCAGTATCTTTGCCCGAAACATTGCCCAGGAACAAGAAGGAACTGTTAGCTATGGGGAAAGCAGAACTTCTTGAAGAGCTCTCGTTTTTGAACCACAGGACCTCAGGTTGGGGAATACCTGGGAGGCAAATGCAAAACATATTTAAAGGTTAATATTTATTTATTTATTTATTTATTGATGGATTGATTTGATTTGATTTGATTTGATTTGTCAATTACTTACAAGATAATAGGTATAAGTATATACATAGTTATGAATACATGAAATGGGTACATATAAGAAAAATAAAAGAAACAATAGGACAGGGACGGTAGGCACATTGGTGTGTTTATGCACGCCTCTTACAGACCTCTTAGGAAAGGGGTGAGGTCAATAGTAGACAGTCTAAGGTTAAAGTTTTTGGGGTTTGGGGAAGAAACCACAGAGTCAGGTAGAGGATTCCAGACATTGACCACTCTGCTGCTGAAGTCATATTTCCTGCAATCAAGTTTGGTGCGGTTAACCTTGAGTTTGTATCTATTGTGTGCTCTTGTGTTGTTATGGTTGAAGCTGAAGTATTCATTGACAGGTAGGACATTGCAGTGTATGATTTTATATACTATACTTAGATCAGACCAAAGACGGCATAATTCATGGTTTTCTAGATCTAGAATTTCAAGTCTGGTAGCATAAGGTATTCTACAACGAGTAGAGGAGTGGAGAACTCTTCTTGTGAAATATTTCTGGACTTTCTCAACTGTGCTAATATCAGATACATAATGTTGGTTCCAGACTGATGAGCTGTATTCGAGTATTGGTCTAGCAAATGTTTTGTATGCTCTAGTTAGTAGTGTGATATTACCAGAGAAAAAGCTACGTAGGATTAGGTTAACAACTCTTAATGCCTTTTTGGCTATGTAGTTACGGTGGGCTCTAGCACTTAGATCATTAGAGATGAGTATTCCAAGGTCCTTTACAGAGCTTGGAACATCAGCAAGATGCATTCCAACTGAATCATCTTTCTGATTTAAAGCATCCCACCACCTCAACCTCTCATGGGATCTGGGATCTTTTAAGTAGGGACGTTAAATATCTAAGCCTAAGAAGGACGTTCTATTGAATTCTACTGTATAGTGCAATATTAATGCAATACCAAGGGTTTTCAATTCAATATATAGAACAAG